GTTGCACGACTGTGGGTATCGAGGCTTCCTGCTGATGGATTCCCCTGCTTGTCGATAAAGGCGTCCTTGACTGATAATGATCATTGCCCACTAGGATAGTATGCATTTGTCTGTGCTGGAACCTGCAGATACTCATTATTAGATCTAATGACCATCTGTCTATGAAGACCTTGTCTGTCACCTTCTGATGATGTCATCCTCTGGACTAGGGCCAAGACAACAGCTCCAGGTTTTACGTGTGAGCTGGAAAAAGACTCAAATCATCAGGGTCAAGAGCCTCTTGCTCCCTCTGTGTCCTGCTTGCCCAACGATAACTAAAGAGACTTGTCAATGGGACCCTAGAGTGTATTCATATTCCCTGCCAGCTCCCACTGAGTTGGTTGGCACGACACATAGCCTTGGCCAAAGTAAAAGCCAATCTGCATGGAGTGAGCTGAAAGGAAAAGAGGACACAACGGAGAGGAGAGGAGAGGAATGGAGAGATTGGATAATCATCCCATGTGTGTAAGCCTACTCTCACCACCAGTGAAATTCAAATGGAATATTAAAGGAGTCTCGACCTCACAAAGTGTCACAACTGTTGTTTCCCCATGTGTTAATGTTTTCAGTGCTCTATACAGTATGTAATAATCATAAGAATAAGCTGATTGGTTTGCATCATTTACTTGTTAGCTAATATATACTCACAAGTAATGAGTTAAATGTACTGTCTTTTTTTTTACATAAGCCATTCATATTTGCAATTAACCCTTTTCTTACCCCCACACCTTGATACTGTGCACTTGCAGTGATAATGGTGGAAGATTTACAACATTTTTTTAACAGCTGGTCTTTAATTTCAGCAGGTTTTCAGTCAGAGAATCAGGCTTTTCATTTCTAGTTGACGACTGATGATTTTTTCGACTGAAATGAAGATTATCACTATTGTATTAGCTAAACTCAATGGGAAAGTGGAGTTTTGGGGTAGAAAACAAAACAGAAAAGCAACACATGGATAAGATTTCTGCTTTGTTGTCTGTATTGTATCTTTAAACAATATGGTTACATTTTACAAGAGAAAGGCTTTGGCACTTATCACACAGATTCTTCCAACAAAACACATATTGTCCATAAAAAAGCTTTTTCTACTCAAAACAAGCTTGAATCTAACTGCTTGGATTTGAAAGTTTGGATTTGGCTCCTCTCAGACTCTGAGGTCTGGTACATATGTTGAACCCCAGCAGCTACTGCAGCAAGTATAAAAAGCAGAACACTGGCTGACCATAGCCCCAATTTGAGCTTCTCAAACAGAGTTGCTGGCAACATTAACCATGATAAACATCATAGCTATGATTATGTAACCCCTACAGACTCACACCCCGCTAAGCCTGATGCTGCTAGCCCTGCTACAACACAGGTACCCACACAGTGACTCCAGCTCCACCAGACTCCCTGTCTTTCCAGCAGAGAAATAAAGACCGGCAGTTGCTTCTCATGGCTGGTTAGCTCTGACTGCCAGCTCTACGTCGCTGTACAAGATACACTGAGCGGTGGTCAGTCAGTCTCCCCTGTGTCCCCTCCGCTTCACACACTGTGTGAACACAATTCCACGCCTATTTTTAAAATACGCTGAGAGGGAGGGTTCTGGCACAATTTGAGGGTGTAGTTTCCCTTCAACGTGGTTGCTAGAGTGTGAATGTCCCCAAATCCACTTAAGAGTAGGACTGAGCTGCTATAGTTACCCTGAACTCAATAGCACATCGGCTCCCGCACGGTTCATTTTCCAGGTTTATGTGAATTATTTAACGCAACTTGTAATCACACAAAATTATGTATTAATGTAAACTTGTATGCTTCATTAATCATACGTTGGCCACATGCCAATGTTTGCAGCTCACATGAGTGCAGATAAACACACTAAACTGTGCTAAGTAACGGTTGCTAAGCCATGATTGGACAATCTCGGTTCAGGGAAGGAGTTTAGCAAACGGTCAATTGCAAAAGCCGGTGGTAGTGGTAAAGTGTTCTTTGTGCTGGCCTTCAAAGTACTCACTGGTGTTTGTTTGGCTTCCTTTCATATGTCAAGCTAAAATCTGCTCAGATTCTGAGAGAAGTGATGCACCCATCAGCATGTGCACTTTTTAAGAACTGACCAATCACAGGAGATGCTGTTGACATCATTGTTTACAACAGCAGAAATGGAGAAGAACTCATTACCACCACACACAAAAAATGACTATTTTATGGGAACATAGAGAACTGCTAATATGTATGCTTTTTATAGTAATATGTATGTGTGATAGCATACACAAAGGGCTGTCATTAATGCATTTTGTTGTTCCTAGTCCCTCTCAGTGCTTTTCTGCTTCATGAAAACACCCCTCTTCCCCTCCTCACTCTTATCTGTTGCATTTAGAGGCACATTCACATTCACATTTGTGGTGGTGGCAAGTTCCAAATCTGTGGAAGGTCTCGATTCACACTTTGAGCATGTATTGTACCTTTAAACAACCAAATAATGCACCTTGGAAATAAATAAAAAGGTCAGACTTAATCCATAACTGCTAAAAAAAACCCACTGCAAATATACTCTTACTGAAGCAGATAACTATGTGGTTGTATTTCAACACTACCTTTTACTTAATAATCTGTATAATTATGTAATTATGGAAAACCAGAAGTGCTGCTGGTGTTTTGAAATGTCCTTTGTAAAATAAAGACCTACTTTCACAGTGCAAGTGGATGGACAAGCAGGCTTGGACAGCAGGAAAGTCTAAGCATGGCTGAACCAAAGAGCAGAGAGGCCCACTCATCCAGGCACCTCTGAGGAGCATTACGCATATTTATTTCAGAATAATATAAATGGATAGAAGGAGCCTCTCAGAAAGCGACTCCAGCATCACTGTGGCACTAACAGACGACCATGATATAAGCTAAATCTGGGTAAGCAAACATCCCAGCACCTATCAAAATGCATTTTCAGTAATTTAATATCTGACTGTAATATCAAACCTGTGTGTGTCACTGCCGCAAAATGTCTGCCCAGAATTCACATTGCCTCGCTGGAACAGAGCATGGCTCATCTTCCCAGCACTGCTGATCAATATAAGATGCCACATTGTCACAGTCAATACTATGGCAAATGGCAATTATGGACGAATTATGAACAATTTCATGGGTGAGCTCCCCTCCCCTCTTGGCAATACGGTTTCTATGACAGATCTGGCACTGGCGGTCTTGCGACATATCTGCCTTATTGCCTGTGTTTGGCTCACTCACTCACTCTGACATATTTGGAGGTTCCATTCATTCAACTACAGAGAATTGGTCATGGGAGAAAATAGATTTATTCAGGGATTTGTGTGAGCCTGTGTATAACTGTGCGTACGCATGTGTACGCAGTAGCAGTGGTACTAGTGTATATGTGTCCACATTTGTGTGTATACATAAGTATGCATGTCTATTTGTTTACAAATCACACATGTTTTAAAGGAACGGTGTGTGTCAGTAACAAGTCTTGAGTGGTTGTAATGAACCTGAAGCAGTAACATCATTAGAAATATGGGATTTTTCTAAATTCAAATGCAAAAGTTATGTTTTATTTATCTTTTTTGAGGGTTATTTAGAGAGTTTTAGTTACCCATAAGTACTTCCTGTGGACCTCTTGTGATTTTTGGAAACCTTTATGTATTCAATTAGAATATGTCTGTGCCCTTATGGGAGGCTTCTGGCCAAGTGCCCGAGCTAAAGAACTGCACTGCTATGTTATTAGGGCAAAAATTAACTGTAACTCTGCTGTTGCTTTTTCTATTTAATCTCCATCCCTTAGAGAGTCTGTTACCACACTGACGCTGTGTTTACTGTTTCGAATTTACGAATGTTGATGAGCATCTAAATGTATCCAAGCTTTCCCACTTGAAAATTACATGAAATGTACACACTCAAAAGCTACATTTCAGTCCTCATCACCACCAGGACTACAATAAAAAAATAATCCCAGTATGCTGAATCATGTGTTAATGCAGAAACATGTTTGTCAACTAAATACTAAAAAATGTTAATGTCCTTTAAACCTGGGGAACATTTCTAAGACCTCAGTATAAAAGATTATATTCATGAAAATAATGTATTTATCTTTCTGTAAGGAAGGCACAGAAATGAACACAAGTTAAAGACAAATTCAAAAGACATTTGTAAGTACAAGCCTACTGGTAACTCATATTTTCTATTGTTTTATTTGCAATCAGTAGCCAAAGTCTTTCAGCTATTGTGTATTTAGTGTTGTTATGTGTTGTTAAATATTGTGTGTTATTATTAATCAGTTTTCTTAAATGTTGGCTTTTGCACTTAAGCGCCACCATACATTATTTAATGACCCTTGTAACGTTACTTTTCCATTGGTTGGCATTGTTCTCTTTACTAGTGTAGCTGACTTACCTAACTTACCCTAAACTAACTCAATTTACCGTTATGTCGTGTCACCATTTTGATTTTTTTAAATAATAAAAAATAACAGAAGAACATAAACCTTGATGTAAAACTTGCTTAGATTAGGTTTTTTAACATATTCTATCATTTTAACAGATAGCATTTTAGCTAAAATGACCACAACAAGAGTAAGTAAATGGTTGGTCACCTGTCAGTGATTATGTAATGCTTTATCACATTTATGCTTTATAAAAATGAAAACAATAACTTCCCCCCTTCAGTATAAAGTAAAAGAAATGGACACCATCTAGTTTTAAACAATCTAAGCTAACTGATATGAGAACCAGTGTTTAAGGTAATGACTTGAATTTAGAGTCATATGGTTGCTCGTCGTCGCTGATATTGAGGGCTCGGTACACCGCCGGTAGCTCGCTTCTGGATAAAGTGCAGACATTGCTGAAGTGACACCGACGTTGGACTTCGTCACCCGGTGTAAAACACATGCCGTCCTATCCTTGCTCTCTCCTATTTAGGGCGAATTTAATTGATCCGGGCAAGCCGCGACCGCATCTGAGGTGGTTTCCCCCTGAATTCATAACGCTGAGCATCTTCAGGCGACAATTGCCTCTCCTTATCCAGCAAACAGTTACACCTTTTTTTTGGTTTGTTTTTTGGGTTTTTTTCTTCTTTTTTTACCAGCACACTCTTATATTCAAGGATACCAGCGTGAAATCCAAATGAAATCGGAGTAATTATCTCCCCCCCCCGCATTATTGTGGAGGCAGCTCGGAGGAGGCAGAGAGAAGAGGGGGAATGGATGCGAGCAGGCGAGCAGAGGCGCACCGAGGCAGCTATTACCTGACAGACACAGCTCCTCTGTGATGCAGCTGTTTTACGCTGGCTGTGGAGGAGAAATAATAATCATTTAAAAGAAAAAGAAAAAGAGAACACCCCGACGACTGCCTTTCAAAAAACGCTAACGAGCGAGAAATCAGCGGCTATTTGTTATTCAGCACGTGTTGGGATTGCATATGAAGAGCCATGTCGCCTTTCTACTACACACAGAGAGAGAGAATATACCATCGCTTTTGATTTTATAATTCAGATTTTCCCCTTTTGTTTTCCTCGGCGTTTGTTTACTCCCTTCTCAATCGTGATCTGTTTTGTTGTTGTTGTTGTTGGGGTTTTTTTTTTTTTTGCAGACCTGCACGGAGCCTTTGTTTTTTCTTGTTTAGAAAAAATCAACTCGGGTAATAATACACAAGTGAGCGAGGAGAGGACAGCGTTGGCATCCATCCATCCATCCATCGGTCCAATGCGCGCTCCACACCGGGCTCTCTATTATGGAAGTGTGACCCCAGCCGTGGTACAACACATGCTTCCCCCAGCTCTACTTTCTCCAAGTGTTTGCACGTAAGGACGGTGGGGGGGCTTGTTTTTTTTTTTTTTTGGAGCCAACATCTCGGGGTATAATGCTCTGAATGTCGGGCTGTTTTTGCCGGCTGTCAGTGACGCAACATCTCACACAGACTGCATGAGAAACACATGCGTAGAAGGGCGTGAACTTGCAGACTCTAACCCTCCTTACCATTAAGAAAAAGCCCCTACTTATCTCTATAACGCCACTTTTCTCCTTTTTCATCCGTTTGCAACCCTCCCTCCATTCATCTGAACTCATCCCCCCTTTTGGAAACCATAATGGATCTCAAAGCGGACTCGGAGGACATGGACTACAAACAGCCGGCTCCCATTGAAGTTTTCGCCAGCAGGTCCACGCTGCACGGCATCTCGCACATGTTCACTTATGAGCGGATGTGTATCAAGCGCAGCCTGTGGATTTTGTTCTTCTTGAGCTCCGTGGGCGTGCTGGTGATGGTGTGCGTGGACCGGGTGCAGTTCTACTTCCAGTACCCCCATGTCACCAAGCTGGACGAGGTGGCGGCTCCGATGATGGTGTTCCCCTCAGTCACCTTCTGCAACCTCAACTCCTTCCGCTTCAGCCGGGTGACGCGCAACGACCTGTACCACGCTGGGGAGCTCCTTGCCTTGCTCAACGGCAGGTGTGTGTGTGTGGTTGTGTGTGTGTGTGTGTGTTCCCATGTGTTTTACTTGTGTGTGAAGGGCTACCTGTACCCTGTAGCCTAGATACCACAGGTCTAAGCTGTTGGTATGTCAGTGGCATAGCCTGCCAGTGATTAAGTTCTTTAATATCAGACATTTCCTGAAGATCTTTGATTTCCTGCCACTCACTGACCTCACCTGTAACAGCCAGTTTTCCCTCCTGTAGGTTAAAAGAAAACCAGCATTCAGTACACATACTCTCAAACAGACAATCTGCCTCAAAGATAAGATTTTGCCTCAGGGAAACCCATCTGTGAGGATTTAGTAGTTGTTGATTCAGGCTTTGATTGTGTCCACTGCACAATATGAGATAACAGGCACAAGACTAAAACATTTAGCTGAAACGGTAAATTTTTAATTTGGGTCCATTCTACTGCAATTACCGTAAAACTAAGCGATACTTTATTCCAATAAAATTAATGAAGAACCATTAAATCACTTAATCCCAGAACCCCACTGTCTAAACCTCAAAACTCTTTAGATATTCTGTAAAAGGGAAGTAGTGCTGATGCTTTACAAATCATGGCCCCTAGTAGTTTAAAATCTTCAAGGCCATCAGTAACCTTTGAACTCGTGAAATTTAATTTGGGTGTTCAGTAGCGTCCTGGAAATGCAGCCTTTTGATGTCTGAATTGTCTCAGGTGAAATCTCATATGTCACACAGAAGTGCAAAGCAGCGTTTTAACACCTGTCTCGCTGGTCGTCGCTGTTAGGCCCGCTGGGGAATGTGCAAAAACAACATGGACAAAGCATGCAAAACCTTTCAAGGCTTTCAGTGAGTGTGAACTTGGACTCACCTTAGCCTGTGGTTATTTAGGAAGGGAGAAAAAAAAGGTACGGATGAACAGTGTTTTCTGAAAAGAGAGGAGGGGAGAGGCTCAGCATTGAGAGTTGGTTATTTAATAATTTAGTGACATTATAGATCATGTCAACTGAAATCCACACTGCACATAAGCTGCTGTATTTATGTAATCGTATGCGACAACATGAAATATACCCCCTAACATCAATCTGTTGATATATGTTGATACAGTATTTGATAAAAAAAAAAAACACACTCACACACACATTTTATCCCCCTGGTAACAGATAATAGATGTTTCTAAGTGGTTAATTCAAAATGATGAAGGAGAAAATGCTGCGGGTGCATTTCCTTACCTCGTCGTTTTACAGTTCGTGTGATACGAATATCTCAATATTGGATAAGTAGACGAGCAGATTTTCTATAATCCCCTGCTGACTAAACTGTGAAGAGACGTGTGTGTGTGTGATTCACAACTGTCGTCCCCTCCCTTTACACTTGTTGCTTTCCGCTGTGCTTTGATCATTTAGTCTTTCGGCAGCCATGACAAGCTCACCGTTGACTGTTGAAACTTTAAATATTTTCACTCTTTCCTTTCAGTGGCACCCAGTTTTATTCTGATCACGTTTACCAGTTTACCGCGCACACAAACATAGACATGGTTTTACTGCAAAAATACAACATCTACTACATACAAACACATTCAAATACCATCTTGAACACATTAGTCAGTGTATTTTTAGCGTATTGATTCACAAAGCTCTGCAGCTGAAGGCACAGTCGGAGAGCGGTACATGCTAGGATGACATAAATCCAATTCCCTGGTTTTCATACATAATATCGTTGCTCCGTGACCTCTATATGTGCATCCATATTACAGGTGATAACCTTACAGGAAAGCAAGAGATTATATAGCTTGGGGGCCTCGGTTCTCGTGCTTTGTATGATATAGACATCAAGCGGCGTGCTTTCATCCCACGTGGATTTATTTCTGTGTTTGTACTGTCAGCTGGAATGTCAAACCATTAAAATATCAACATAGGCCTCCAACTCTTTTGATTTATTAGGCAAAGTTCAGTCAGATTTCCTGTAAGAAGTGAGATGCACAAACAAGGGCACGGACTGAACAAGAGGGAGGAAAACAGAAAAATGAAAGCAGTGGCACTTGCTCCAAGTGGCTTTGGAAGGAGCTGATTGTGGATGGAGGGAAGGGGGCTGCAAGCAGAGGCAATTAACTTGTGTCTCGTAAGCTGTGTGATGAACAAGTCTTTATCCCCGTGTAATTAGTGCTGTTTGTTAAGCTACAGAGTTGAACGCTGATTAACACTCTCATCTTTCTCACTGTTTCTTGCCCCCTCTGTACCGTTTGGCTTTTGGGGGAGACGTCCCCAACTTAGAGATTGGTATAGTATGTGATGTATTCTCAAAAGATGACAAGGCAAGCTTTGTTAGCAGGTCTCACTCTCTGGCAGTCTCACAGAGGTCGAAAAAGTTCTTTGTAATAAGGACTTTGGAGGAAAAACAAAGGAATAGGGAACAACTTGAATCTAAGCTGTAAATGAAAAAGTTCTGATGGCTTCCCGTAGACTTTGCTTTTTTCATGTGCTTTTAAAATACAAAAACATTGATTGGGTAAAAGGCACTTCAGTGCTAAGCTTTTTGATATCAGCTGACATGCTGTGGGTTTTGTTAGAAAATGGCAGGAGAAAAACAAAGTGCCATGTGGCTGTGAGTTTCTGTCCATCACTTTCAGGAGGAAGCAGCAGGCAATATCCAGCCTTCCCAGACTATCTTAGACGCCATGAAGTTTATAGCTGAGCTACTAGTAACTTCACCTGACCAAAAAAAAAAAATCAATCACTTTCTCATTGTGTTCTCACAGGCTGAAGTCACACTTGGCAGTGCAGAACATTACGAGTAAATTGCTCAATTCTATTTTTATTATGTCGCAAAGGCAATTATATGATAATTAGCAAAAGAAAGGTCATTTTGGAATAGGTGTTGGTTGTGTGCTGCCAAAAAGTGCTGCATCGGCTCATGAAAGTCAGAGAAGCAAGTCTTCTGCTTACGCAGTTATCAGGCTTTAACATGTTTCCTGAGCTTGCAAACATGTTCTAAAATCGCATAAGCAGTGTGTGAAGTGCCACTAAATGTAACGCTCGATAACTTTGCCTCAGCAAGATCGCTGGTCCTAATCAGCATTTGACTGGATGAAATGTGCTTGGGAGAGGACATGGGGAGGCCAGATCGTCACACAGAATATACAAAGAGTTGCTTCAAAAGCTGATTTTTCAAATGTGGGTTCATTTGCATTTGCATTGTGATTGCAATTAAGGTAAGGCAATTAAGCTTTTAAAAATAATTTAATTCGATTTAAAATAAAAGGATTGAATGGGATCAATCACACAAGGTTGCATGTTATTACTGTATTTTGCTTCTTTGGTTTGTAGTGTTAGAGATTTGTTTGGGTTCGTTTCACCTTTCCGTGGCCCTTGTTTGCATTTCTATGATCTTGTCCAAAGTGGTATAATAATTGTGTCACAGGTGCACCATCATTAAGATGTAATTATCAAAACTCTGCTACCGGGAATCATTGCCGTTACTCATTTTCAAGGACACTGCACAAACAATCCTATCCTCGTTAGTATATGAGTTCAATTAGCGCTAATTGGATAATTACCTGAGATTATATCAAGATGTGTTCATTGTTGTGTCACACAGCCTGTGGTATTGATACTAAATTAACACAATGGACTGTGAACTGCAAGGGAGGAAGAGTTTGTTGTTTACCTGAATGAGTACAGTTTTTCTTGACCACAGTCTTACTGTCACAAGTTCACTCTGAAAATCAGTGGTTGCTAGTATTTACTCACTCCTCTCATGAGGTGGCAAAGGGATGCAGATGCTCCTTCATTCGTTTTAGTCCCCGCAAGAAAATTAAAGTGCTTGTGGCCCATAATCCAATTTAGTCTCCCCCGCCCCTACGTAGTGAGTTTGCTGTGATTGCTTTAGGGAGCAGTGGCAGGGCAATATTAAAAATCTACCCATATTATTGTGATTGTATGTGCTTCAACTAAAGCCTCCTGACTCGGGGATCTGAACATGGCGTCTTAAGTGCTCTCCTGGCAGCTTGGTGTTGCTTATAAGACGCAGGCTCGGGATACAATTCAATTAAGTTCCAGGTATACCACAACAGGCTGTATCTTCTTATAACAATAAAGCATGAAAATGTAGTGATGTGTTCCCAGTGTGGGCCAGGGTACTGAACTAGTTTTGAGTTGTGATTTTTATCAAAGATTCAACTTTTTCAGTTCGTAATATGCCTTTGTGATTTGAACTGCCTTTTCCGGGGCCCAAGATGAACTTTTTTCAACATTACCAAACCTGCACAGGTATAACTCACTGCAGCTACCATTACATTTTTGATGTCTTGCTTATTCAAATTGAAGTTGATTGGTTAAATATAGTCCCTGAATATAACATGACTAACAATGACAACAAACTGGAAACATAATCTATAAAGTAACTTGTTTTTTGACATTTTTCCACTACAATGACTTAACTCTCACATGAACATGCTGGATCTCTGTAAAATATAGGATGGTTCATTTTCTGTGAAAGGCATCTATTTTAAAGCATTTTGTAACAATTTTCCTCTTTCAGTCCATTGGAGCAACATTGTGAGCAAAATACCCAGTCTGGTCTTTGAATTTTTTATTCATGAAATATTTTTCCCTAAGATAAAATACTTAATGCAGTGTGTATTCCTAAAGGATGTAGGTCACGTGTGATCAAGGTTAGTCTGTTTACAGGTGTTAATGGAAGACCTGGTTGAGCTCTGTTCAGATCAGCTGTCACTCTGGCTAAAACCCACACATCTCTCCCGGTAATGAACTTTAAAAACAAGGTAATTAATACACTAAAGCCAACCAGATCACACATTCACAGCGCATAATATGTTTACACATTAACGCACAACTGCAGTTAAGCATTAACCCTACATCACCTTAATTTGCTTTGATATAATTTTAACAACAGCCAGCTGTATTAGGGACAAAGTGGCAACTAATGAATAACCTTTCTTGGATTTATAATCTATTTAATTCATGAAAGATTCGGTCATCTGCACTGTCTTGTCTTTAGTCTGTTGTGCATTATGTCTTTTATTAAAGAGATGGATGAAAAGAACTGTTACTCATAATGAAAGTATAAAATACAAATCAGCCACTGAATTGTAGAAAAAGTTAGAGGCAGACATGTTGAATCTTTATGTTGGAGAAGGTATTAGATAAATTGTCATAGTGATAAACTGGTGAAATATCTATCATATTTTAAGCATTTAATTGGACTTAAGTGCCATGTTACATAAGATATTTGATGTTGCAGTGTTTTTGACTTTTGGTGATAACAATAAACCTTTTTCACAGCAGCCATTTTGACATGAAGTAGTAGGGTAAAAACAGGTGTTACCATTGATACTAATTAAGGTACTGTTCCATTCAGGACAAACAGAATCGTGGTGCTGCTGTCGTACATGTTGGCTCACTGGAAAGGCTGAGCTACACTAAATGGAACTGAGCCTTAATTAGTATAATTCATAACAACTGTGTTTACCCTACTATTTCATGTTAAAATGGCTGCTGTTAAAAAAGTCTAGTCCCAATCTTCTCTGTCACAGCATTGTTAACTCCATCTCTAACTCCACTTTCAACATGTCAGTATGATGGATTCCCATCTCTCATCAGTGTTGTGAGTGCAGTGGAGAGGAACAGTCCTCATTTCAAATTACACACATACTGTTTCACATGGTGAATATTTTATTTTATTCTGTTTGAAGCAGGTAAACAACACTGTAGCTGCAGTGAAACATATTACACTTCTTGTAATTTGGTTTTGATACAGGTCGAAAATACATTGCCAGTTCAATGTGAAGGCATTGCTCAAAAAAGAAATAATTTAGTATTTCATTTTTTATTCATGGATCAACTTACATTATTCCCTTCATCAAGGGACAAAATCTTGTTCATGAGCACTGACAAAGCTTGACCTTGTGGAATTAAAAAAAAATCCATTAAGATTTACCACCAATTATGGTTTGAAATAGCGCCCATATCCATGAGAAATAACTCCGCTGTCAGCGTCCACAAAGTCATTCACAGATTTATTGTCAGGGGAGAAGGGTATGCCTTTGTCTCTCTCTGTCTCTCATGGTTTTCAATTCTAATTCTGGTTTCTCCAGCTTGGGGACAGACTTATTCATGTTTGCAAATGTAAATTGAGCTGTCCAAAATTATTACAATAACACAATACATGAACCCTATTATAAGATGGCTGATGCTCTCTCACTTTACACACAAATTCAGGACTTCATATTAAAACCCTTTACCTCACTACTTTGCCCTTCTCTGATTTGAAAGAAATAGAAGGATTGACTACCTTGTTGCTCAGTTAATTCAAAAAACCATTATGTCGTGTTATTCACTCTGATAGACTCTGTGTGTCCAAACAAATTATTCTCATAAGTGTCTGTCAGTAGTGCTTAATCTTAGCACTCCATAATTTGGACGCTTGTACCACTGATAGCCCATTGCTCAGCAGGGGTCATCAATGGGCTGTCTTTTCTCCGAGCAGGGCCACGCTAGTTAATTGAGGTTAATTTGTGTCTGTGAATGACTGTGAGCAGGTGCTGGAGGTTGATGGTGGTTGTCAAGCAGAGGCATATCATAAATGACTTCCACAGTGTTTTCTTTCTGTGAGCATGGCCATTGCAGTTGAGTTTCAGTTTGTGTGTGTGGACGCACTCGAGTGAATCATACTTTGTCACATGTTTTATGTGTTTGTGAGGAGGAAACAGAGACAGAACGAGAGAGAGTGAGTGTGTATGCTTTCCCTTACATGATACACCTGATTACGTTTTATCCCAAAATTGCAGCAGATGCTATATGAAGTGTTTTGCTTTGATTTAAAGACTATGCAGACTGTATAGTCTTTTTCCAGAGTGAATTACAGCATTATGAACATTGTTATGCTTACTACGTGAAAATGCTCTGCTGCCACAGTTAATCCTAATTATTTGGCAGAATGATTAACACAATTGTGTGAAAAGAAATACTCACATCCTTTAAATAATGAGACATTTTTTCCAACTCAGCGACACCCATGGTGGTTGGCATGCCAGAGCAAGGCTGCCAGTTACAGACAACATGTGGATAATATTGTGAGAGTTTGCTAACTGCAGGTCTGGGAGAGTTGGCATGCACACATGTACCTTTTCATTCAGTTAGAGGTTGAATATGCTCTTTTTGCTGCTTCTCTATTAATTTTTTACATGTTAATTCCCATTGTCCTGCCAAAAATGCTTGTCAGCCTGCCAAGCTCTTTAAATGCACATTTTAAAAAGGAATTGAATTGTGTCTTGCTCTACTGTCAAAGGGAATTCCTTGAAGGCATGTCTATTTTTTATTCTTTCATGGGTAGGTTAAGGTTTTGTGTTTGAACATGATGATGTTTAAATAAAATAGACAGTTTTACAGTCTCTGAAAATTAATTTTACTTTTTCAGTGTCTACTCTCTTGTTTGCTATTCATATCTGAGTGTTTTATTATGATTCACACAGCAAGAGAAGTTTTCTGCATGAGAATTTGAGAACATGGTCATGTAATAAATGACACAGAATGTAAATGTAATGTAAAAATTGTTCATTTGTGCATTTATGGTTATTTATGAATGTGCTTCTTCATGCCCACATGAACTAACCCCTCAACCTTCTTGTCCAGGTACGAGATCCGGGACCCACACCTGGTGGAGGAACATGTCCTGCAGATTCTGAAGGAGAGGGCCGACTTTGACAGCTATAAGCCCCGGCCCTTTAACATGCGTGAATTCTACGACCGAACAGGCCACGACATCAAAGACATGCTGCTCTCCTGCTACTACCGAGGCATGGAGTGCAGTGCTGAAGACTTCAAAGTGGTGAGTCAGGCGTGTAAATAGTTAAATGTCCTCTGCCAGGCCAGCTGAGGCCTGCCAAGATGAGGGTCAGCTGAGCATATTTGTGATACAAGGTCAGCGTTGATATAGTTTATTATAACATCTATATAATATGACCTCTGTTGAGCAGTCATGGCAGAAGTTTGCTTTTGGGAAATGACATGGTGGGATATATTAGGTAGTGAATAGTATATACTGAATTTTATCCTCAGTTCAATCTGTGTGGCTCCATCAGTCCAGATCCGTCTGTTCCCCCTCAGGATGTGACTGAGAACCATTGTGTACACTCACAGGCCAAAGGCCACTGAGTGTACATGCGTATGGAGATACACACCATGTACAAGTCTGCTGCAAGGTCCCACATGCTGGCATTGGTTTACAGTTACTGAAAGGTTGAACAATGTTCTCATAAAAGGTTGAAACTTTTGCTGAACTCTGGATCAGTGCCATGACGCTTGCTTTATGAGTAAGAATTTTAAAAAATCTGTCACTCTGGGAGATTTTCTGGAAGTGTTTGTTTTTCTCATCTATCAGATGGTTACAGACATCCAGTTATTATCTGGAACCTGTGTGACCTTTATATCTGCTGTACAGCGTATGGATTCATCAGATACAGCAGCAGTATATAAAAAAAAACACTAAGCTGTCTGAGGCACACAGGGTTTTACCTTGTCTGATAGCTGTGGTTGTCATCAGTTACTGTACATTTTCTGTGATATCTGTTTAATACCAGCCCAAACCCCTTTTGATACACTGACTGCACTATTGACGTTTTTCTGTATCAATTACTTTTGATTGTTGCAGAAAAAAACATTACAACCAATTAGCAATTCTTTCGCTTCAGTTTGCTGGATGTTTGACTGATCTAACCTTGCCGTTTGCTACTGGCAGGTAGCATACAATGTGTTTATTCAAGCTTGTTTGGTGACAGCGGCTGCTTCTGGAAATAGGGGTTGGTTAAGTGCGGTGACTCTCAACGATACAGTAAATGTTTGGCCCGTAATACAATACAATGAAAGAGAGTAGCAGAGTTGGCTGATATTTCTTTTTGTGTTTGTGACTATGAGTGACCCTTTCAAATTACAGGCACCGTTTGATTCAGATGAATATTTCTTGTCATTTTCTCTTTTATCATTCACTAATAATTTCTGCTATTTTATTGTCTGAATAAGCTGCAGTTACTGGAATTATGATAAGCGAGGGGGGCCACCATGTTTGTGTGTGAAGCGTATCTAAAATGATGCTGTGAAATTTCTGCAGTGTAAAATCCTTAACCAGTTTAAAAATTAAAATGCTAAATTAATTGATGCTGGATTTATGGTTTTATTAATATAGAACAGAAGACACAAGACAAATCAAACTCAGAAACAAATTAGTAAAGTAGATGCATTAGGAGTCACAAAAAGAATTCTTAAAATACATTTAAAAAATATATATATATTTTTGACATAAGGAGGCTAAAAAAATGTTACACATTGCAAAGAGTGGCAGCTTGCTGTGGGAGAGAGAGCTCATCCAGACGGGGCAGCTATTCAGCAGATGCTCTTTCCAGAGCAGACTAGTGATGATGGCAATGTATTGATAAGGTTGAAGTCTCTTGAGAATCCCGTGGTTATTGCAACCTAATACACATTTGTAAATGTCTCATAAAGAGTTTCTTTATTAGTAGATACTGCACGCTTGTTTGTAAGAAAAGGCTACTTCTTGCTTTTGAACTAAATCAGTGCAGCTCCTCCACACACCATTTATTGATGTGGTCACCCTGTATTTCAGCCTCCTATGACATAAACTGGACCAGCTCTTTCGAGGCTGGGACATTTCCACACAAAAGACTCGAACAAATTGCATAAACCTTTGTAAGTCAACCATAGTAAACCACAAAAATCAGATCTCCACACTTTATTTTACCAATCCTCCAAGCAAATGCATAAAGAAAGAGAGTCACATGACTGTTTATATTACAGGCGCACTTCACTTGACAACCAACCCACCTTCCAGACCAGTGCACATGTCTGTTGGCAGAGTATGTCTGAAAGAAGGCGAGAAAAGAAAGAAATCTGGCGCACTGTTTCACTCTTACACCCTGTGTCCTTCAGTGGTCCTTTGAGGTTGAATATCTCATGCTATGTGAGCATTTTTTCCCCCCCATATCCTGTAAAACCATGTTGTACAGCAGTGGCTACAACACGGCCCACATGGTGCAGCTCCTCTAATGTGCTGATGTGTCCACATTACTGTAGTTAGTTGTCCTTATGGCAGATGGTGCGTCACAGGGCTCTACTGTATTAGTACAGTAGTGGACCTGGATAAAACAGCTCAGCAGAGAGCACTAATGGTGTGGAAAGAATCTTCAGTGCAATAGAAAAAGACAAAAACAGTACGATGAACACTCCCACCAGCCTCTGCCTCCAAACCCCAGACCATGGAAGCAGTAAAACTGTGATTAACACTGTCGGCAGCTTCTGCTTGTTTACCCCCAGCATCGGCAGCGTGCCTCGCTAGCTGCTCCCTAGCTGTGGAAGATAGCCAGAAACAAATGGTCGCTACTACACATGGCATCAGGGAGTCCAGTTGCATGCTCTGATAAAGATGGAAAATTAAACAGTCTGACCACAGCAATGGTAGCACTTAATGCAAGTGGTCTCCGATAGGATGGAGAGAATCTGCATTTTAAAATGTTCTGATGGATGAAAACACTTTGATGCTTCACATTGTTTTCAGGTTATCTAATCAGAAGTACGGTGTGTCCTTGTCATCACCAAAGTTGTCATCAATTAATGGTCATTGGTCCCAATACCCAGTGGGACACAGTGCTATATAACCACTTTTCAGTTAATGCTGATTAGTAACTCCCTCTAATTGTGTCCCTGCTTCCTCTTTCTCCTTGGACAGACTTTTGCTAATTAAGAATGCAGAAGGTTGGGCTTAAGTCTTTTAGCTCAGCTGATATTTAAGAGCAGCAGGACAGAAAAATTATCCTCAATTAATATTAATAGGTGGCCTAGAGTTTCTGAACCATAGCTGTAGGAGATAATAGAAAACAGTAAAGAGTGAGTGAATACAAAGACGTAATTAGATTTTTTATGATCTTGTGTTTAATTATAGAGACACATACGTCAACGTATGGATCATAAATGTACAGAACAGTTTAAGAATAAAATCAGTGGGTGCACAGTCTATGTCAGTGCATCCCAGTGGAATCCTCCGTAGATAATATGTTGATAGGTGATTGATGTCACAACCTCTAAATTATTCCATTTTGAACACTTCAAGACACCCACTTCAGACTACAGTCACCAGGGAAAACTCTGGAAGACTTTGCAAGACTCAAAACTGAAGCTGAGGGGGTTTGGCAGACAGTGAGGGAGAGAGAGAGAGAGATAGCATATGAGAAAGAAAATGAGGACAAGAAAGAAAGAGAGAAAGAGGGACAGATAGACTTGGAGACGGAGGCCCAGGTAACAACAAAGTCCTTGGGATGAAACTGAACATAATGGTCAAGTGCTGCAGAGAGGCACAAAGACACAAAACAGCAGCTGCCACCGCAGTAGCAGCAATAGCGGTACTATCAGTAGACACACAGGTTTGTGCTCATTTAACCTCTCAGAGACTGAAGAGCTGCACTGTATCTCCCTTTTCCAGCCGCCCAATTGTCTGCACAAACACAATGAAGTACGGCCACTCAACAAGTATCTCCTTTCCACTCTTATATTTTTGTTAAAAACAAAATGTCAGATTCTATCCAAATACATAGAAGGAAATCAAAATGTTATAGGTCATAATAGTATTTCGGGCTGACTTGAACAAATTTGAAAAATCATCACAATTACAGTGGTTATACCGTTTAAGCTGCTTGATAGTATTTTTGTGTAATACCTGTAAATCTATCTTACCTATCTATAAACGGTTCTCATTAAGCAGATACATTTACTACATTACTGCACAACTTGTCTACATTACAGTTAATCCATTTTATGACTACTGGTCACCAGATTATTGGATTATATTATGTATACATTATGTTTTATTTCTGTATTTTAATTTCTTCATTACTTTATGTCTTATGTCTTAGGTTTTCTACTTGTGTGATTTCCTTGTTATACATTTTGTATGAGCATTGTTGGAAGGAGCCTGATAACAAAAAGTTTAATTGCCAATAGTCTTGCATAGCTCTCCACAGCTCTGTGTCAGTGCTGGAGAAAGGTCTGGCTGCACCCATTATCATTCTGCAATAGAGGGAAAAAAATGCTCTGGCTTGTTTGTGTTTCTTTGTACCAACCACAATTGTCTTGGGTGTCACTAAGCCCAGGATGCAGCGATGGTGCCCCTGAAAAACAGTGTTGGGAGCAGATGATGTTTTGGTGAAACATTTGCACTTGGGGAGGCGAGCACTTTCCTGTTAGGTAGCTTGTTTATGTTCTTACTCTTAGCAACCAGGTTAGGGTTAAGGTAATTTGCCAATTTCAGCCTGTAGTTTGCTAACTCTGTTGTTGTTGTTTTTGTAGCAAAGGGGATTTTTGAAAACATCAACACACAGATATACACAGCCAATGTCAGGCTTAAAGCAGCAGTCCACATCCAGTGAGTCAGGCTACCTTGCCAACAACTGCTTCATTGTAATTGTTGTGCCTATGAGAAATAAACAACTAGTTTTCTCCATGTCCCTGTCAATGGCCATCACTTGTTGTCTGTGCAGGCCATGCTGTCCAATACAACTACTTCAACTATTCTGTTTTCTTTATTTGCTTTTAACAAAGAAAACACTTGTCTTCTTATATTCACAAGGATGTATAGTTGCCAGCAGAGTTAGAAAAGTAGCATCCTTGGGAGATTTTAGGACATCCTCTGATTACCTCTTTTTTAGTGTTTAGGTCATTGAGATTCCAGTAATTTTAGTTCATGTTCCAATACCTTTAAACTTTTTTTTCTTTAGATTTAATTAACAAAACACTAATTGATACTACTGACTTTAAAAAAAAACA